GCATGGAGCGCGGCGACGGCTGCTCGCGGCTCGGGTCGCGCCGCGCGGCGGGGAGGCGCGGTGCGTGCGACCGCGGCCCGCCGCGCGAGCGTTCCGCGCGCGTCAGGCTCGATCCGTTCCGGTATACCAGACCATACCCAGGGTACGTTCCGGCAGTACCCAGGGGGACATAGACCCAGGGTACGTTCCGGCAGTACCCAGGGGGACATAGACCCTCTCAGCTTAAGTGAACCTATTTCATGCCACACGCATGTAGACATAGTGTTGAAATGTGAAAAGAAAAAATCTCATTCTGCACCATGGAAGACACACCTGCAGTGAAGCATGAATCGCCTTTTTAAGCTCCTTCTCCTCCTTCCAGGAGAGGCCATTGTTGTACTCTAGGCTCTTCTGCACAATATGCCGCCTTGGTCGCTCCGTTGTCTCCGATGTCATCCCTACAGTGCGGCTTTTCTCACAATCAACTGTAGTCTGTATGTGTTCACGTCAGCCGACGTTCTGACATCTGTATGCTAAGTTGCTAACACCTAGAGTTACGAGAAAAGTGTCATGGACATTTATAAGAGAAAAGTGCGATGGAAATACAAATTACAATACAGCAATCAGTATTCAAGAAAAGAATTAAGAGATCTAGAACTAGAACAAGTAGAAGTAGAAGACAACCTAGTAGTAGTAGAAGTAGAACGTTGAACGAAGAAATTGTGACTATGCGATACCGTGTGTTTTACAAGCAAAACTGAAGTTCAATGCGTCAATGTTACATATTACCGAGATGATGCACTTATGGTGTAAACCAAGCAAAAGCCTACCTACATATGTGTATTCGTTTAATACACCGAAACAGCACAATATAGGAAGCATTTTCAATGTATAAGAACGGACACAAAGAAAACATGCCCATTGTGGTGTTGATTATACGCTGCTGCCCTCTACTACAATTCTTTTACAATTTATTACGGTAATGTAGACGCCATTATCGGGTCTAACCGCATTATTGGTGGTGTACAACAGTAGAGGACGTACGGTCTATAGGCAGAGGAATGACATAACATTGACATCGCTGGAAATTTGAATTGATCCGCGTTAGATTATTTTTCTTCGTTTCAATAAATATACACGCATCGGAAATACGGTATTATTCACACATTTAATTCGCCAATAGGTGGCAGCACGCTCCAGTGTGCACCGCGAGAACCTCGGTACAGTTGTAAATACGTGTTCATCGCGTTTCAGCCGGCCACGGATAGAAATCTTATCTTTGATTACTTATTCCGGTAAACTTATATTATGTTAGCGATAGAGGAAGTTATATTGGAGATATCCCGTTGGTGCACAAATTTGAGCAAATCGTAGGTGTTGGACTTCCCGCATACACTTACACACAATCACTGACACTGTCACTGATTACTATACGGTACTGCCTGCGATTGGAGCTGTGACGTGGTCAAGTACTGTAGGTGCCTAGTCAAGCAAGGTGAGATCGCTCACACAGTCACTGGTGCCATTCGGTGAAAACGTGTTAATTAACGTATTATCTTGGTATTATATATATTATAATATTTTATACGATTTGCTCCACTTCTCTCTCCATCTTCGTTATAGTCCCCAGGACGTTTGAAGATTAACACTTATGAGGTTATATATAGTGATATATAACTATAAGAGTGTGAATATATATATAGTCGTGGAATGAGGTACATTGACACTACTAACTGGTAGGATCTCGTTGATGAGTATGCGCTCAAGCGGATTGATGAGAAGTATGGTCCAAGCGTACTATACTTATCAACGTAAGACGATCTGAATCGTTATCGACAAGTCACCGTAGCTGTGGACATGCGGTGTCAAAGAAATCCACATTGTAGGCAAACGTTAGTACCACGAAGTGATGGCGACAAGCACGACTTGTCCGTCATATGCGAACCGGCAATCGATCAGAACGCCCTAGCCAAACCCTAGCACCCCCCCCTGAAGTCATACAAAGTATAGAACCTTAGTATCGCACGAAGTGGTGTTAGGTGTTTAGGGGTTAAAGGTAGGGTTAGGTTTATGCATCATTCTCGTTGATATACGGAAAGTCTTGTGCATCAGTTGATGAATACACAGTAAATACTGTGCATCACTTTCGTGATACGCCTAAGGTGCCTAAAGCTGGATTTGCGCCCGTGGACATATCAATTTATCATCTCGTATCCTATGAACGGGCGCATTACTGTACTCTTTGATAATATATCAGGGTTCTCCCACCAGAATGAAATCCGATCTACAGGGGGCAGGGAGCGGCGAGCAAGCAGCCGAGGGGGAAGGCACGAGCACGCGAGCGAAAACTACACGAAGCGCGAGCATAGACACGCGACCCAACCGAGGGAGGCACTCTCGATGTTTTTTACGGTAACCACTAATTCGAAGATTCGGTAAAAATTGCCGGACGCCACACAACCCACACACACACAATCACCACACCACCACGCGCGCGGCATAAATACAATTGTATTATGTTTATAATATTATATATATATATATACGTATATATAGCTATATATAACATTAGATCGTACTATAATATGGGGTTCTTTGTATATAATAAGATTAGCGCGAGTCTGTGTACAGTTTTAGTGTTGGCTTTATGGTTGAACAGGGTTAAACACTTATTATATAAACTAATTTTGAACAGGTTAAATTAGTATTAGCTGCAGTGTACTAATTAGATATAAAGTGCAATAAGCGGAGTGCGCCAGTGAAATTAATACGGAGTACGCAACAAATACGAATAGAATGATTTATAGAATTATAGAACGGGATTCTATTTTAGAATCATAGATGAAATTTTATTATTATTAGAAT